AGGAAGGTGATATTTATTCTCAGAATTATATCACAAAGAGCACTAAAAATGCATAAACATACGTACCTATGGAAATTTCTCCGATTTAACCAGTAGAGAAGAGAATATTTATGAATAAAAAAATTGCTGACGTATTTTCGTATTTTGCTTTGATAAAGTCCACATTGGACGAAACGCGTCAGCAATTACCAGTTTTCCTATTGTCATTTTTATTAATAAATGCGTACCTATGTTTTACAGATTATGCAAATGAATTTGATAAAGTACGTCACAAAGAAATGATGGAACTGAGAGGTAACCTTGACATATTTGGAAATAACATTGGAATAATCAAGAACCTATGTTTGCCTGCAAACTATACATACCGATAGATGCAGTTTCTATTTTCCCCTAAAACTTCGTCGTTTAGAAATGTCGAAATTGTTAACTATCTACTAGATTTTTAATCCTCCAGGTGTTAAAAAAGACAATCCTTCATCAGCTCGGTTAATACTTAGTGAGTATAAGCTACCTCATACAATACGAAATGTTTCGGCTTGAAATAACCCACAAATTTGCGTGTGAGTAAATGTAACGAGACCGACTTGAATTGGAACACGGCTCTCCGATTTCTCATTACGAGACACTATTGCACCACACGCACATTCATTTTTTTAAACATTGCACTCGAAGGAAGGCAATAAAGTCACTAAAGTGCAAGCTGTAAAAATGCAATTTTCATTTTCTCTAAAACTTCGACGTTGCTCCATGTTCGGTCCATGGCATCCTCATTATTTTTCTGTAGAATGACATTTCTGTTGGTTCTAGACTCTTCGTCATATTTGAGGAGATTGTCCAGCATTCACTGCCATATAGGAGGAGAGATATCACGTAACACTGCTAAATGTTTCCTGTATGGAAACGTCTTATCGGTTAATACTTAGTGAGTTCAGTAGTTTTTTTTCTTTGTTTCTATCAATGTTTTTTCTGTCTCTTAATACTTTGCTTAGCTTTGGGAATGCATCTTTGGCCAACCCAATGCGTCGTCGGATTTCAGTGTCGCACTCTCCGTCCTTTGTTAAATCATTTCCCAGATATTTAAATTGTTGTACTTGTTTTATTTTGGTATCTCCAATTTGCAATTCGCAATTTAGGTTCGTCATTTTTCTAACAACCATTCATTTTCTCTTTTTGCAGTTGATGTTTAATTCTTTTTTCTAGTTTTCTTTCACTAAATTCTGTGGGACATTTGTTTTAGTTTTCTACACCATATCTTAAACGACACAGTGTCATCTGCATGTGTTGTGAAGACTTTGGCCACTAATGATGAATCCTGGTAATCGCATGGCTGTGTCGGTTGAATAAGTCCGGTGAGAAGACACATCCTTGTCTTTGTTTTAAGCATTTTACCCCAAGCAAGGCGGGAAGCCAGTAGCACGCAAGGAGCTACAGTAGAGTTGGAGCGAGAACAAAGATTGACATTACATTTGAATAGTTGGAGATTATAGCTCTTAGGGAAACAGTAATAGAGAAGGGTGTTCCACAGGCGAGAGGTGCGAGATATGAAGCCATTGGAGTAGAAGAGGCGGCTACATTTAAAAGTTTCGACAGTGAAAGGGTGAGAGCGGGATGCCAGCCTCGTGGGGCGCTTGAATTCATGAAGTCTGGGAACCAGCGAAAGCAGCTCATCGGAGCAATTACCATGAAAGTATTTGTAAGAGAGAGAGAGAGAGAGAGAGAGAGAGAGAGAGAGAGTGGCGATGGCACGTCTATGAGAGAGCGACTGCAGACGAGGTGCCAGATCAGGGCCAATTATATTGCATATCCGCCTCTGGAGCCTATCAAGAACCCCGAGGCAAACAGAAGGGGCTCCAGACCATATATGTCAGCAATACTCCATGAAAGGGCTAATGGTTGATTTGTAGATTTGAAGGATCGATTCCGGGGAGAAAAATTTCCTGGCGCGGCACAGGGAGCCAACTTTCCTTGCGGTGGACGAAGCAATTGACTCAATGTATTTGTTCCATCTCAGGTCAAAGTGCGACCGAGCAGCCCCGTTCTATTTTTGTATTTCTGCTGAGCTCATTTTCTATCCTTATGCAGTCGGTTTGTTGTCAGTATAGATTCTTAATTATTCTAATATCCTTCTCAAATATGTCAAGGTTACTGAGCAGTTCCAACAAATCTTTGTGGCGTATGATGGGTATAATTTGCTTGGTATATTTCTACCCTAGTGTCCCCCTTGTTTGCAATAATAATAATAATAATAATAATAATAATAATAATAATCGTGATAAACAGCTCTAGCACCAGTCCTTCATAGTCAGATGAGCTGAAAAGCTCATAGGTTGATTATGCTGTCATTAATAAGAGTTAAAATTGCAAGATTTCACAGCTCTAGCATTATTCCTTTATAATCAGCTTATGAACTTTTCAGTCCAGCCTCGTACCTACAAAGAAACATGGCTGTCATTAATAAGAAGAGATGAAATTAATGCATGCAACAATAATAATAATAATAATAATAATAAATGTGAAAACTTGTAGAAAATGCTGTCGTTCAGTTTTTTTTATATTTAAAATTGGCAAATAAATGTAAAAATATATTTAAAGAGCAGTATGTGATAAATTCTGTCGTCCAAGGTTTTTGATATTAAAAATTGGAAAATAAATGCGAAAATATATTTAAAGTGAGGTAAGTGAAACTTGTGGGAAATTCTGTCGTCTAGGTTTTTTTATGTTAAGAATTGGAAAATAAGTAGAAAAATATATTTAAAGTGTTGTTATGGAAAACTTGTAGAAAATTTGGTCGTCCAGGGTGTTTTATATTAAAAATCTGAATGCTAGAATTGCAAACAATAGTAAAAATATAAGTAAAGAAAACAGAGTTATGCCTGATAAATAAATCATTTGTATTTACAAACATATGTACATAAATTCAGAAGAGTCAAAATGGAGTAAAAATAGTCTTTAGTTCCGTAAAAGTCCTTCGGTAGTTGGTACACAGAAAATGTTGTAGTTTAGAAAAGACTTTGATCGTCAGCGAAGATTCCCTGACCGAACGAACTATTATTGTTGGAGGTGATTCCTCCGAAATTGCCGAGACAAGTTTCTTTCAGTACGCGTTAGTAGGAAGGAAAAAGCTATGTAGCCATGTCTTCTCTTGTGTCTGAACGGCTTGGAGACAGTTGCATCTCTGCTCATGAAAGTCAAAATCGTTTTAATAATATTTTTTCTCGAAAGCAGGCTCGAGAAAAATAGGATTTCAGTTTTCTTTGATTGGTCAAATATTTCACATGGTGATATTAATTTCTAATCAATAGACACTTTGATTTAAACGGTTTGTCTTGCAGATTCTTTTTGGCATGTTTGCAAATATTGTCTATTATTGGATAAAAAATAAAGTTTGTGTGTGATTTATATGGTATGCTTGTGGCTATGTAATTGTGTTGGAAATAGGGCTTATTTCCTATAAGCCCTATAGCACTGTTCAGGACTATCATACCCATTTTACATACTTGGATGATGTCCCATCCAAACAAGAAGAATAACCGTTTTTATAAGTCAAGTTCCCTTTTGTCATCTACGCTTGATCCCATGTAATTTCAGCTTTGTTCACCTTTGTTAACTATTAGCAGGTTTAATCTTATAATATTTAATACATAAACTGTAAGAGACAAGTTTTACGCTAGTTTTCCAACTAAGGAAGGCGCTGTCGGTTTTATTCGTAACTAGCAGTAGAGCCCGGCGTTGCCCGGGGATGTAACAGTAAGAGATAGATCAAGTATCGACCATCATAAAGACTGAAAAATAAAATTGACAACGATTATTGTTTAAGGTTGAGGGACACGCATGTCTTATTTATTTATTTTATTTTTCTTCTTTACGAATTGGTCAAACCCAAACTCAAACAAAAACATTGTTTTCAATCGTTATGAGTCTACCGATTGAATAGAATTTTATTATAAACAATTGTCTTGTAAATGGAATTTTTAAAGCATTCTGAATATAAAAATAAAGAAAAAAGTGTGCAAGACAATAAGAAACACTACCTGAAAAAAAAAGAAAGTGAAGTTTTGTTGAAAACGGTTGAAAAATGTAGGAAATCCGATCCAATATATAAACGTACAGACACACACACACACACACACACACACACACACACACAACCTGGGTTTTTATAATAAGTATGATTCTAGCTTTTACTGACTGGTGAATATATGACTGAGATAGACAATTGAGACGCTCTTTATCGCCTACTCAAATGATATTTGTTTTGTCAGCTTACTCTATTATTTTAAGGGGGGGGTGATCGTGATACGTAAACATTCTCCGAAACGCATTAGCAATTTAAACAACACCTTTTTGTTATGAGCTTCAAACTTCGCTGAACATTGTTTATACTGTCTTTGTCAACTTACGGACTCAAATTCATGTTTGTTTGTTTTTGTTGTTGTTACGATTTCCCAGCAAAGCTGCACACTTTCCACCCTTGTTCAGGGTTGGTTGACCGTGTCTTTTAAACGATGTCAAATCTGATTTTTTTTACCGAGTCAAGTTTCTTGATAAAGGTAGGATGGGAGAATCACAGTTTATTTAAACGGATTGAAATCAAGGGACGAAATTGGTAGATGCCAGGAAGTTTTTTTTAGAGAATTTAGCAAAGGTCTAAGACTTAACTTTGAGTTTTCAGCGTCAGAAGAGGAACTGCATCAAAAAGATCGAGTAATTTTGACTAAATGTGACTTGTTTTTTTTTATGGTTTATCAACCTTTTACAGGTTATTTAAGGCCAAAATGTTTTTAGATTGTAGCAATGTTATTTTTTTAGATAATAATGCATTTAATGATACAAATCTTACTAATTAACCCATAGCTGGAGGAGAAGAAATGAATTCATACATTTCCCAAGGGTATTTGCGCGTAAATGAATATAACGAACCCAACAAGAATTGGAACTCGGCTCTCCGATTAACAATTTTGAGCCATTATCCATTACACTGCCCGTGCATCCATGCTTAAAGCACTTGTTATTTCGAAGCGGTCACCCATCTAGCTACTGACCAAGTTCAACGTTTCTTAACTTCGGTGTTCGTACGGGAGCCGGTGTTTCAACGTGACGTGGCCGTAAGTCCCCTCTAGCATGTTATTTAGACCACAGCTTGAAGAAGAAGATATGGGTTTATGCCTTTCCTAAGAGCGTTAGTTCGTAAGTGATTGTTTTTACGGATTATCAACGCTTTGTGGGTTATTTAAGACTGAAACATATCTTGGTGGATTATAAGAATGATACATTTTTTTTGACAGGGGAGTGGCTATTGCATTAACAATTTTTTTTAGAGTAACAATGATTTTTCTAGATACAAGTCCTACAATTTAACCCCTAGCTGGTGTGGAAGATGAATTCATGCCTTTCCCAAGGGTATTTGCGTGTAAGTAAATGTAACGAGTCCGACTTGAACTCGGCTCTCCGATTTCTCATTACGAGACGCTATTACACCACACACACATTCATTTTTTTTTAAACATCGCACTTCAAGGAAGGCAATAAAGTCATTAAAGCGCAATGGGTTACTGAGCGTAAGAAAATATGAGAAAAACAAAACACTATTAAGAACAATAAAAGGACGGAAATTAAGAAAACAGATGATGACGTTTGACGTTGCATTTAAATTTCTGAAGATCAATGTTTACTGGAAAGCAAGAAGCCAGAAGAGAGTTCCACAAGCGAGAAATGCGAGATAAGAAACTGTTAGCATAGGACTTACGGTTACATCTAGCTATTTAAACGGTAAAATGATTAGACTTTACCGCCAATCTAGGACTGCGCTTGAATTTATAAAGTCTAGGTACTATATAGGAGAGTTCATCAGAACAGTCATCATGAAAGTGTTTATAGAAAAGGCGCACGGAAGCTACGCTACGGAGGTGGGAGAGTGGCTGAAGCCGAGATGCCGGGTCAGGACCAATAAAATTGCATATTATTTTTTTAATATTTTATAAAGAATTTCTGAATACAGAGCAGAAGCACCAGACCAGATTTGGCAGCAGTATTCAATGCTTGGACGAATGTTAGACTTAAGACATATTCTAGCGAGAAAAATTTTCTAGCACCACACAGTGAACCAAGTTTCCTAGCAATGGATTCAATATAATCTTTCTACTTCATATCAACGGAAAACGTTACCCCGAGAAGCCGCATGGAGTCACTCTTCTGGGGCTTAGCATCAGCCATGCTGATGGAAGACATAAATGTTCGAAAATGAATACAACAGAGTAGGTTGGGATTTGAACCTGTTTCTCAAATTTCCCATTGATATCGATTACGCTACTAATCTACTAATCTATTGTGCAATCTAAATCGCTTTTAGAAAGAACTTGTTAATTTTGTATATGTTCTACATAAAAGCTGTTTTATTTCATGTATTCCGAAAACAGCTATTGTATGTTTAATGTAAACTACAGTTCAAAGGTTTGAGGCCACCCCTCGTAATTTTTTAAATTGGCTCAAAAAGTAGTTTTGTAAAAAGATTATTATTGTATATAGCTAAAAAAGTGAGAGATGATCATTTTTTTATTAGAAATTTTATTATGACAAAAAGAATGTTTTATGATTAAATTTTGCTCTCGTCTAAATATCCTCCTTTGGCCTTGATTACTGCAGCCCAATTTTTTGGCATTTATGGCAAAAGTTTCTCAAAAAGTTTGATAATTGATTCCATTCTTTTTTCAATGATTCCAAGAAGATTTTTTTTTCACTTTTTTCACACTTCTATCACATTCCTCCCATGCTAATTTCTGGAGTGGCTTCATACTTTTGAACTGTAGTGTAATTGCATCGATAATTACTTATCTCCTGCTCACACCAGGGGCCCTAAATTTCATGTTTCATAGGAAACGAAGAAAAGTGTACTGAACTTTTATGCAATATTGGCCCTTCAATATGGCAGTGAATGTTAGATAATTTTATAGATGACGAAGTTTGATTAGATTGATGAGTTTTATACAGTTTATCAACCCTTTGCAGGTTATTTAAAGCCAGAAAACTTTTGTAATAATTTTTTATGGCGGGAAGGTAATAATAGCTTAGTGATAAAAGACTTAATGATTGACCCATAGCTGGGAGGAAGAGATGGAGTCATACCTTTCCAAGGGTTATTTGTACGTAAGTGAATATAATGAACCCAACTGTATTTGAAACCCGGCTCACCGATTAACAATTCCGAGCCATTATTCATTATAATACCCACACATCCAAGTTTAAAGCACCTGGTATCCCCAAGCGGTCACCCATCTAGCTATTGACTCGACTCGACGTTTCTTAACTTCGTTGATCATCCGGGAACTAATGTTTTAACGTAATATGGCTGTATGCCACAAATGAAAAGAAAAGTCTTGAGGCAACAGTTCTAAAGAATGATCCTGAGAATACCATGGATCAAACAGGCAAGCAACGCCAAAATCTCAGAGAAAATGGAAACGAAAAGTACACTTATACTTAACATCAGATATCGACTGTTGAACTTTATAGGGCACATAATCAGGAAAGTCGGTTTGGAAAAATTGACACAAACAGGAGTTACGGGGAATCATGGGGGAATAGAGGAAAAGAACGTATGACCCATCTATCGAACTTGTGTAAAATAGATGGCAGAAAATTGTTTAGGAGAGATAGCAAAAAAATAAAATTTACTAAGAGCTACAAAGGACAGGAAATTGTGGAGAGCCATGATCACCTGAAGAGACAAGGCACATAAAGAACAGAAACAAAGAAGAGCTTGTGTAAATGGGCAGCAGAACAGGATTTAGAAGAGATAACAAAAAGATAAAATTTATTATGAGTTAGAAAGGATAGGAAATTGTGGAGAGCCATGATCACCAATGTCTTGAAGAGACAAGGTACATAAAGAAGAAGATGAAGACGGACGATCTTGTGTAAATGGACGGCAGAACAGGATTTAGGAGAGATAACAAAAAGACAAAATTTATTATGAGTTAGAAAGGATAGGAAATTGTGGAGAGCCATGATCACCAATGTCTTGAGAGACAAGGTACATAAAGAAGAAGAAGATGAAGACGGACGATCTTGTGTAAATGGACGGCAGAACAGGATTTAGGAGAGATAACAAAAAGACAAAATTTATTATGAGTTAGAAAGGATAGGAAATTGTGGAGAGCCATAATCACCATCGTCTGGAAGAGACAAGGTACATAAAGAAGAAGAAGATGAAGACGGACGATCTTGTGTAAATGGACGGCAGAACAGGATTTAGGAGAGATAACAAAAAGACAAAATTTATTATGAGTTAGAAAGGATAGGAAATTGTGGAGAGCCACGATCGCCAATGTCTTGATGAGAGAAGGTACATAAAGAAGAAGAAAAAGAAGAAGAAGAAGAAGAAGAAGAAGAAAGAGGAGCTTGTGGAAATGGACGGCAACACAGGATTTAGGAGAGACACCAAAAAGACAAGATTTATTATGAGTTAGGAAGGACAGGAAATTGTGGAGAGCCATGATCACCAACGCCCTGAAGAAACATGGCGCATAGAAGAAGTTAGGCTAAACTAAAAAAAAAAAAAAAAATTCTGTCAGTATTTTGTGCAGCTAGTAGAAATCCACCCGAAATATAACCGAGAAAGTCTGTTCTTAAGTCGTCGTTGTCGGAGAGCTGTTCGCATGTCACGTGGATATTGCCCTGATGTAAACGGGTATTTACCTCATCCCACGGCGAATCCTTTTCACCTTCGGGTGAGGAGAGCGACCTGAACGTTTGTCATGCTGTCAGTCCGAATTACATCACATTACATGGAGGCAGTGGGGAGGGAGGGGGTATCGCTGGGTTCACGAGGGACGACAAAGGGATCAGAGTCAGTAGAAGGGAGAGGAAGTACAGAAGGTAATGGTTGGCGGTGGTGGTAGTGCACAGCCTCTTCCCTTATTCGCTTCGATGCGTTTCTACACCCTTGACGACCACAACCACGACAGGGACCACAAGCAGAAAAGATTGGGTCACGAAACCAAATATAACTGTCTCATGAAGACAGCCCTAACCATTAACAAAAAAAAAAAAAATGTGGCTGTGGTAAAAATTAAAAGTCCACAAGAATCGCCTTCGGCTTTGACAAATGTAAATATATTAGTGTCGTAAAATAGGATATATATCTAAAGATGATAACCCCGCCCAACCCCAAAAAAAGAATTAAAATAATTATTCTGTTTATTAATTAATTTTTTTTACTCTTCTGTTGTACTACCAATGATGTACTCTCTTTAATTCTGTTTGTACTAGCAATGTTGTACTCTTTTTACTTATGTTGTATTAGCAATGTTGTACTCTCTGTTATGATTAATCAAGCGTGGTCTCCCCATGTTTTGTTACTCTCCTCTTTGAGAGAGCTATTTCTGTTTACTGGGGCTATAAAAAGACAATATACGCGAATTTTGTATTCCCAGTTGAATAAATCCTTCTTAAATCCTACATTTGTGTACTTTTGTCATTACACACATTTTACTTCTGTTGCATTAGCAATGTCGTACTCTCTTTTCTTCTGTTGCATTAGCAATGTCGTACTCTCTTTACTTCTGTTGCATTAGCAATGTCGTACTCTCTTTACTTCTGTTGCATTAGCAATGTCGTACTCTCTTTACTTCTGTTGCATTAGCAATGTCGTACTCTCTTTACTTCTGTTGCATTAGCAATGTCGTACTCTCTTTTCTTCTGTTGCATTAGCAATGTCGTACTCTCTTTACTTCTGTTGCATTAACAATGTCGTACTCTCTTTACTTCTGTTGCATTAGCAATGTCGTACTCTCTTTACTTCTGTTGCATTAGCAATGTCGTACTCTCTTTACTTCTGTTGCATTAGCAATGTCGTACTCTCTTTTCTTCTGTTGCATTAGCAATGTCGTACTCTCTTTACTTCTGTTGCATTAGCAATGTCGTACTCTCTTTACATCAGTTGTTCTAGCAATGTTGTACTCTCTGATATGAATAATCAAGAGTGGTCTCCCCATGTTTCGTTACTCTCCTCTTTGAGAGAGCTATTTCTGTTTACTGGGACTATAAAAGGACACTCTACGCGAACCTTGTATTCTCAGTTGAATAAATCCTTCTTAAAGCCTCCACCTGC